TGTGTCCGCTTGCGTCAGCCAACTCGTTGGGGAAGCCGGAATATTGTGGTTTTTATACGTAGGTACACCATTATTTTAGAACCCAGTGTTAACATAATATATATTTCCACAAGAAAATAAACAAAATAAATTATTACACGGACTAATTCTAAAGACAAAATATAAAAAAAACGGACGTATTGAGTACCTTCTTCTTTTGGGAAGTCGGTAAAAAATCGAGGCAAAAGGTAGCCAGCTCCGCAGAAGGAACTTAGGTAGTCATTAGTATAGTATTTACTATAATAGTATTCGTACAAATTATTGTTTGAAGGCTTTTTTTACTTAAATAGCCGTTATCGACAAAAAAGTTTTTAAAAAAATATACAGACGAATTGAGTACCTCCTTCTTTTGGGAAGTCGGTCAAAAAGATAAAACCCAATATAGCATCACATTCATATATGGGCTACATGAACTTAACTGAATTGAACCAGTTAGAACTCGATAAATGATTACATTAACTCATCGATATTATCTTTAATTAATGTATCACACATTTAATAAGTTGAATGCAGTGTACGTGAATGTAGTGGCTTGTACAGCTTTTATAACGGTGATTAAATATTAGGGTCACCAAGCATTTTCTCGTGTAAAGCAGTTTCAAATATAATTGTTGCCACATTACACTGATATCGTGTAACCTTAACTAGTTATATCAATTTCTACAGCACATGAAATAGACATCTTATAATTTTGTTGGATGTTATCACGCCATTTGTTTAAAGTTGGTACAATTGATTATTTTTATAACGCCCTTATCCGTACTGAAACACACTTCCGTTTAAATTAAACAATTGAAAAATACCCTTCTATTTCCGTATGTTATGTGGAATTATATTATCAGTAAGGACAGGCGGAAAGTTTATTGTAAGGTTAATGTATGTGGTACAAAACATAATACCACCCTAATGAATATTAATTAATCGAATTTACCTTCAAACATGCCATGCCGGCTTCAACAATAACGATAATCTCACATCTTTCATACTGGCAATTCGGTCAATGAAATAAAAAAAAAACACTACACATTCTAAAAACATACTAAATGTCATTTCATCATGTTTTAATTTTTAAAACATTTCTTTGTATGTACATGTGTAAAAAATTTCTTCAAAAGCTTTCCAACCATTTCGGTCAGTTCAATGACATAAGCACGCGCAGAATATTTATAATATTAATAATATGTGAGTAAATCAAGATAAGGCTCGTTGTAAAGCGGGCGACATCGACGTGTAAGAGTTTTTTTTACAATAAATTAGAGATTTGTCACATGTGCTATGGTTTAGTTACAGATAAAAAATAATTAAAATAAAAACGTTATGATAAAATAGTAGCTATACAAATATGTGATTAACAAAGGAACAGAATCCCTTTAATAAAATAAGATGGCAAACGAGCGAGCTGCCACCTGAATTCCCCAAAATGAAAAGCGACCGCTGCCCATAGACATGTTGCCTACCCTTAATTGACGTAGGAGGAGACGCAGATAAAGAGGACATTTTCCCTTGTTGTGTCTCCTCCACCGTTAAATTCACTTTTCTTTCCCATCCTTTCCTAATTAAAAAAATAAAATTTAATTACCTATATAGACAAATCTGTAGGTAGCATATAGTTCTAATGACCAGTTACTAGGCTAGTAACTTAGTCTAGTAGCAAGTAAATAGTAACTCAAACGTGTATGATCAATAAAAATTTAGTCGAGCATAATCTCAAATTATTTTCACTACTAAATTCCTAGACGAGTTCAAACTAGTTACTTAGTTAATAAATATTTGATTGAAACATAATATTCACGGGTCGGCAAGTCGATTAAGGTCAGGTACGGACATTCGATCTTCATCGTATCAAATCACAAAGAACATTCAGGGCATTGAAGATTTACTTCGGTTAACAACGTATTTAATGATATACTATTAGAATTAAATTTAACATCATGTATCTTAATACGTAAGTCTTAATTTACTAACAATTTGCGATTATTCCCAACCGTCACCCCGCTCTGTCCCCACGTTTCCGACCCCATAAAGTTTCATCCGTCCCACCTTTTAGTCCCACTATCACAATTAAGATGATAGATGGAACCGTTATGAAATAAAATAAGATCCAACCGTCCCCTTGTCGCAAAAAGTGGAACGGATGAACCTTTTTACTCACATCTGTTCCCACGTGGGCATAGAGAGGGGTGACGGTTGGGAATAATCCACAATTTGAGGCATTTAGCAAAACCTTTTTTTACTATAGCAACAAAACCTGAAGAAACGTCTTGATATTTAAATTATCATTAACAGTAAATATTATAAAACCTTGTGTATCTTGTTATTTTTATTAAAATTTATCTGACATCTGAAATTTGGAGGCACTTGTCACATTCGCCCTTTTATCTTACATGTTGCTTAATATTATTTAAACAAATTTTGCACGTAATAGTGATTGCCTTTTTTCGCCAATATTTACATTTAATCAATTTTATTCGTTTTGTAAACTGGATTGTTGACGACTATGTGAACTTGAGAAGTCAGGGTACTTCATTAATTTCATAATTGATGTTGACAAATAGAGTTTACCCTTCTTTAGTTATTTACAACTAAAAACTAATTCATAATTGACGTTAATCGCAACCATCAAAACAAAATGCTAACGGATTTCCCAATAACATTTATACGATGTAAATGAAACAGAGATGAAAATTTAATCATTCATACCAACAAATAATTTGTTGAAATCAAAAACAATGACGTGCTTAAAATATTACGTCAATAACGTCACTGTTATTTTGTTATATTTTATCAAGATATCTGACGCGTATGTTTTGTTTTGCAAGGCATTCCTGATTATCCATAGAATAGTAAACATGTTATTATACTTATATACTTACGGTATTTACTTATCAGTTAAGCGTTCAAACTTACATATATGTATATAAAAAGTATTGGTGCTCTAAATTATTTAAAAATTAACACATTATCGTTTATTTAAATTATTTATCTTTAAAATGCGTTATTTTTAGGTATTTGTAAGGTTAAAATTTGGTATTACCGCGTCTTTATTTTTAGATAACATTGGTAACTTTTTTATAATCGCTTTGAAAGGTTTAGTTAAGTCTGGCAGCAAAAAATACCAAATAAATATAAAGAAAATTTTACAAAGGTTATAATCGTGGTTTTATTAGTGATAGTTGAATGATAAACCTGTTTACATGTGAGAGGCTTGCGCAGAGTTCGTTCACTGAATGTTAAGTTTGGAGATAGATAAAAATTGAATGATAATAAAAGGAAAGAAACATTTAATACCAAAGAAAAAAAACAGAGTTAAATTTTTTCAACCAGTAATTCGATCTGAACATGGTAAAAAAATATTCTTTGTCGGTACTTTTTTTATTTCGAATTTATCCAACTGTAAATCAATCGCCTGCGACAGCTAGAACTAGAAAAAAACTTTGAATTTTTTTGTTACTTCGTAGTCACTAACAGTTAATCCTAATAATTGATCTTTAACCATTTCTGCTTATTTAAAGTATGTATTTTTAATGTAAAGTAACGGTCTGAAAAAGTGCGCAAATAAGACCTTGTTATCCATTTAATGAATGATTTTGTCCACATAACCTATGCGTGTCACGGAATATGTTATCAAGCTATGAAGATTGTTGAGTCTATCAATTTAATGAATTCGGAATACCGCGAAATGATAATTTTATAAACGTAGCAATAAAAAATAATTAGCAATTATAATAAACTTAAAATAACGTACATCGTTATGAAGAAAACGATGTCGACGATGGAAATCCAGGATTTGTCTAGAACACTTAAAATAAGAATCACAAAGAATTATTCTAATAAAAAAAACCAAGTACTCGAATTTCTTTGTCAAGGTATTTTGTAATAGTTCTGCTTAATGACGGCTTTAGCTCTACAAGAGCCCTGAGCTTGATTTCTACGGCGCCATCTTATTTTTTAACATGACTGAGAGGGTGGCTGTTATGTGTAAACCTAGGGTGGCCCCTGTCCAACGCCCGGGGCGGCCCAACCGCGCCCTACCCTAACGGCACCGGGTATGCTATCTCAAAAAATAATTGGTATTTCAAGGTCTACGTCGCTTGCTGTTATCGGTTCTTATTGCGTAATGGGTAAGCTGATTAAATTGCACTCTATTCACATCAAATTATTTTAAACATTTTTATTATACAAAAGTATTTTAGAGAAAAATTATACTAAAATCAAAATTAATTTTTAACAATGCTTCTTTTTGAACTTGGTTTCCGGATTGTTCTTTATAGTTGGGGAGTAATAAAAAAATATCTTAGTTAAATTAATTGCATAAGGCATTAAATCATTCTAATCCTTTATCATAAGTCTAAAATATATTTATACAAGATTAAAATGTTCATCTTGGATAATCTCATTGAAAAGTTCAATGCTACGTATTCTCAACAAGCAATAGGCCAATATATACAATTATGATATTACTCTCAGATAACAGCTAAATTAAACCCAAATGATAAGGGATTTCCTTACGCACATCACTGACTAATAACAAATAACACTCATCTGCATGTTTGTACTAAAAGTTTCTTACAAAATATTAATAATACCAGCTAATTTAATTTTAATTTTAAGACTGACGTTATAAACTGCGCCAATATACATTCCGATAAAAAATGCACATTTTGATAAGTATCTGATGCAAAATACGTTACATTTTTCATTAGAGCATAAAATTTTGGTGCAAAATATTTACTAATTCTAATAGGATGATGCAAAAGGTGTGAGGTTTTTCAATAGTGTACATTTGAACATCAATAGAAGGTGTGGTAGCGGGGTGAGCGGGGTGCGTGCGCGTTGCCGGCGGCGAGGCGGGCGGCGAGGCGCGGTGCCGCGGCGTGCGGGCAAGATAAGCGACTGTTACATCAGATCGTTTGGCGCGTGCCCAACTCAAACCGCTATAAAAGGACCGCGTCGGCGCTCCGACAGTCATTCACAAATTACAAGTTATAGATGTCAATTCAAATAGTATAACCAGTTTGTGGCAATGTTCTACTCTCTCGTGCATTATTCTATAAAACTGAATACTTTACTCGATTGCGAACAGTGGTGGCTTAGTGACAACTGGTGTGATAGTCATTCCCCGCGTTTTGAACATCAGCAAAGATAACAGAAGCTTCTTCCATCTATCGGATAACGGGGTAAATATTATTTGTTTTCAATTAATCTATGATTAATGACCTCATAGAAATCACACTGATGCGAGTTGTTTACAAACATCCGCAGAAGGTTAGAATTTGTCCTGTTTGGTTAAATGCCTTTGAAAAGCGATGTAATTTGATTCACATAATAAAATATGGTTACAAATCTAACTACCGAATAAGCGGGGTCAGCTCAGGTCATGAAATTATCATTTTGGTTACATTTCATTTACGTCAAGTAATGATAACGAAGTGAGGGTCGTGAGGCAGCCGGTCGGCAGATTCGCAAGTTCGTTTTGATAAAAACTTAACTTATGCTCACTGCTGATAAACCAGTTGACAAGATTATTTGGTCGCGAAATATTTTCGGTTACGATGACCGCTTGTCAGGAAAAAAACTGCTTGTATTTTACGACAACTCACTAAACTATCACTTCTCTGTGAAAGTGTCATCATTTAGCAAAAAAAGATGTCTAACTTAATATCCGTACATCAAAAAGTAATTAAAACTGATCAATTATATTATTAAAAAATAAACGACGATCTCGAATTTATTTTAACAGCATGTATTTATCTAATTACAGATAAACAGTATCTGAGTACGTGAGTGTCCAGTAGAGAAGCGTTCCCAGGCACTATCAGTGATAAAGAAAACCAGTGAAGACAGAAGATCTTATTGTAATTAAATCGTGACGTCATGGCTACCGTGCAAGCTCCTCCCGAACTGAACCTGCCTTCGCCACTGCCCGTCGCACAGAATTCCTCAGAGTTTGACTTTGTGACACTCACGATGACAGCTCTGCGCCTCGTGAACCCGTGGGCTGTGGAGGCCAAGTCTCAATGGCAGGCCCGAATCGAACCCGGAACTCCGGAAGCCAAAGATCGCATCTTGACCTTAGCCGAGGTGTCCCAGCACGACACGCCGCGCGACTGCTGGGTGGTTATCTACGACCGCGTGTACGATATCACTACATTTTTGGATGAGGTGAGTTATCTTATTAATTTCAATTGAACCTTGATCTTGTAATTCTAGAATTTTCTTTTAACTTCTTTTTTATATAATTTGACCTTTGCAAAGATAACGAACCGAATTTTTACACATTGTTTAAATTGGCAAATAGTGATGGTAGATTATTATAACCTAGAATGCATGTATTTATGTAATTTATTTATCTGCAGCATCCCGGTGGGGCGGATATAATGTTGGAGTACGCGGGTGGTGACGCGAGTACCGCGTTCCGTAGTTCGGGCCACTCGAAGAGCGCGGCGAAGGCCCTGGAGCGCTTCGTGGTGGGCGAGCTGCCCATGCACGAGAGGATGTACCGCCGACCGGGCGGCATGCGCCTTAGCGACATACCAGAATGACATTTTATTTATAATTCTAGATTTAGTCAAGAATTGTGTTTACTTTATTTTTTACAGTGCTTTAATACTTTCTTTATTTGATGTTTTAATTGTCAAACGTTTATTTAAATATTTTAATTATTTTATGTAATAATTAGATTATTTGCTTAGTTTATAAGTGTCGTACTTAAAAGTATATTAGATATTATTGTGCTTGTATTAATGTCTTTCTGCATTTATTGTTACATTGCATTTCTTATTGTATTTCAGTATTAAACTGATTTTAAGTTTTAATTTTTTATCGTACTAGCCTTTGGCAAACAAGATGTTCCTAATATCTTATACGTATTCAATAAAATTTGTACCACATAATGACTGAGCTTTACTTTTTACACCTATGAGAAAAACCAGTATTAGGAGCTTAAAAATAAAACGATTTATTTCTAGTTCAATAAGTATAATCAGTCTTAACAAAAAAATAAATTAAACGTCTTATAAATTAATTTTATAGTACAATAATATCAAGTGAAGGCTGAATTTTCGGTGGGATAGATATTGACTAAATCTAATAATAAATTTTCCACTTTAATAGAACATTACTCACATCTACGATTTACACCTTTTTGCCGGTTCTGAAAAAAAAACAAGAGGTCACTATTTTTCTTATCATTTATTACATAGAAAAATATCGTATCACAAATCCTTGCTTTGCAAAGTTATCACACATGTCATAAAACAATCAATAATAATAAATCCGACTATCACTGGTTCAAACAGCTTCCTAAATGTTCAATTGACAATGACTACAAATTAAATACGGTAATGCTAGCTTTCGTCCGCGACCCTGTACGCGTAGGATTAAAAAAAAAAAAGTAGGTAGCTATGCGTTATTCCAGACTATCCTCTACATCTATGCCAGATTTCATTGAGATGCGTTCAACTTTCACATTTATAACATACGTAAGAAGTAAAATTGAATAACGTATTTTTAATCTATCATTATAACAAAACTAGCTGTCGCCTACGACGCCGTCCACGCGGAGTTCAAAAAAACGTAGGCTATGTGTTCTTCCAGACTATATTTTACATAAACGATTCTATGCCAAATCGAGATCCGTTAAAACGTTTTGGAGATACCTTCTAATAAACGTACATTCATCTAAACTTTCATTTATAATATTAGTAAGTAATAAAAGTCCCATTTTAAGATATGGTGACCATTTGGCTGTGATATTGGCACATTGGCTACGGATTAGTGGGAACTTACGATCACTTCGCCATATTCGTAGAACGACTATTAGTTGTTCTCCCAGTATAAAGGAGAAAAGGACCAATTAAAGAAAACCAAGATGTTCATCTATCAGTAAACAGACAATATGTTGTTATGACAACACAAAGGGTATTAAATTATATTACTGTTTGATATCCATAGTTCAATGTATATTGCAGTACAGATAAACAAACTTTTACCTTATTAAGAGCAAATATAAACATATGAAAGAAACGTGGATAATAGAAAGTCGATATAAGTACCCTAATACTGGCAGGCATGTACCAATGTCAAGAAAACAAGTACAACAAATGTCCGTAATATAAATCTACTATCTTTTTGCCGCGACTCCGTTGGCGCTGACTAAAAAAAAACTTAAGTAACCTATGTGTTTTCTGACTATCGTCCACATCTGCGCCTTTAATTGAGATCCTTTCAGGCGTTTAGGCTGTAAACTCTAACATCCATCCATCTAAACTTTCGCATTTATATTAGTAAAGGTTTACGAAGTAAGAAGTTCCAGGATTAATTAAGCATTGATTTTAACAGTGGTAGAGTCCCCAGCTGCATTAAACGACCGGTCTATTATGTAGGTCTATGGTATAACACTTGGCCAGCTTAGTAAAATTTGATATTTAAAGAAATACTTACAGCAATTTGTAGTTGGCTGGTGTAGGTTTTGAAATGATGTATTTGCAGTATAGAAGAAGCAACAGGAACATTACAATGGCTGTCACCTGCATGTTCCACTCGTGAGGCATCGCACACTTAGATACTTTCACTTCTTCCGGACTCACCGTCAACTGTTAAATCGAAAATACCAAATTATCGATTACTATTAGAACAAAGATAGACGACCTTAAGTCTAGTTTTTTTCTTCTAGTTGCTGGCGACTTCAACCGCGTGAAATTAAAAATAATAAAAAACATAGTCTATGGTTCTCACTGATAACGTAGCTTTCTAATGGTGAAAGAATGTTAAAATATTTTTGTAAACACACGAAATCCTTTAAACTTCAAGGAGTCAAGCGAGTTTGAGGAGGGTAATTATAAAATTGCAAACTGCCAGTGTTCAGAACATGTTACGCAAGTTTTTTTTTGAATTCGAAATTTAAATCAATTGTGCAATTTTAGTTCATGGTTGTAAAAAAATACAAAATCTATAGTATGAATAGGCGCGTTCTTTTGCACCTGCATTATTTTTACGGTTAAATACAATTCATATGATAATTTTGGAAGTGATTTTATTTTTTTTATATAAATGTCGGGTTTGGTAAATTTATAACAAAATTACTAAATTTGTAGGCACAAAGCTACACAATTGTAACTTTCTTTACAATATGACAAAGTAGCCAGTGACCTACAAACTAAAACTTGATTCAAAACAGGACTAATTTCTCTTTACATTTTATCACTGTAAGCTCTAATTGACTCAATAAATATGTTCAATTTATTGCAAATATTTAAGTTAATTAATACTTTATAAGGAAACGTATACTTTATAAGGAACGTTTACAAAGCCGCGGCGAGAAAGGCAAGTACATTTAGAAATGGAAAATATAATGCATGTTTCTAAAATGCGCAAGTGCCCGCAAGTCAAGTGAAAGGAGACCTGCTCTAAAACTGCTGCTGGTTGATATATAGGTTGAAATTTTAATTCTTGCCGTAGGTTTCGCCTGCCAATGTTCGAGCTACGTCTAGGGGGACGGGGCAGCTACCATTATTATGATCTTATTCGAAGTAGGTTTTGACTTTATTTTGAATTTTTGATTCCCTAGAGGGCAGCTGCCCCTTTCTTCTCCCTTGGCCACGTCCATAAGTCTTGCGCAAACTTAACAATAAATGTAGATAATATCACTAACATTTTGTAACGCGTATAAGCAAAAGGGAAATTTGGGATTTCCCAATGTGAAAATATATCTGCTTAAAGGTAAATATTGTTGTTTATTAAATTCGATGAAGAATAGGAAAGATTACAATGTATTGTATATTATGATTTTTTTTTTGTTAAAATCGCGTCAATAGAACATTATACAACACATCTCTATACTTAATGTAATTAAGTATGAGCACACACGATGTCAGCAATTACAGTATAATTTGGAATGATCCCTTCTTTAACAAAAACCCCTACAGGACACACCATGGGCTATATGTTTTAACGCTATTAGACTTAGGGAGTAATTAATTTGGAAAAAACATGCGGGTAAGACAGAAAAACTACAAGCTCAAAACATCAAGGAATCAAAGTATCATGGTAACGGTAATTGTTACCCAATGTCAAGCCAACATTTGCAATTGAGAATTTTATAAATGTAAAAAATGAAATAAAGTTCATATAATTTAATGCAGATGAAGACCCACGGGAACGTCTCGTTATATATCGAAACAATATTAACATAGAACACTTACCAAATAATATTTAGGATCGGGTCTGTTCCCCCAGGAGAAGGATGGCACCGTGTACTCTACGAACTCAATCTTGTGGCTCTCAGTTGGAACGAAACTGTGTCGCAGCATGCAGCTGTGGTGCGTGTGCGCACCGAACGCGGCGCGCGGGTGCAGACTCTCCACTAGATACTCCGTCGACTCCTTAGAGAGGCAGTGCCAACGCTCCACAAATAAATTGTTTCTCTCCGGTAAAGGCGCCGCGTCGGGCTCCGTGCATAGACTGTCCGATTCTCTGTACAATGGGTAATGCTGAAATTATACAATGTCTTAATGCACTTTAAATATTGAAGTACCCTCAGATAGTAAGTTAATGCAATTTGAACCAAAACATTTTAACATTACAGGGAAAATCTTCTATTATAAATGCAAAAATGATTTGGATCAAAAAAAAGAACAAATCTTGATGAAATTTGGAAAAAACGTAAGTCTGGGAGAACATAAAGTCTAATTTTTTTTAATTCTTGTGGACAGAGTCATAGGCAAAAGTAGTATGAATTTAGAAACAGTATGTTACCTGCATCACTATGGGCTGGCTATACCGTTCCAGTTTAATATGACTTTTGCAAAGCGCTGATCCACTACTGCATTTTAAAATATCTACAAGATAAATATTATATGTGAAAAAGATTAATCAGAAGGTCATAATGATTTTTTTATTACAGAATTAATTACTTTACTAGACTTATCTTGACTAAACAACAAGACCAGTGACACAATTAGCCATTTGTAGATAGCAAAATTATCTTATGCGGTTCCTAGGTGACCTACAATTTGACACAAAGTGAAAATATCATGTTATTATGCCATAGTATCTATAAAAAAAATAAAACATAAAAGCAGATGAACAATATTACTGACCAGCTATTTTATCAATTTCTTCCACAGCTCGAGAACATAATACACAACCGTCTCCTTCCATTGCCATAGAGTTGATAAGGACAAAATGATTCCCCCGAAGACTTACTAGTTTGACAGGAGGCGCATCCAGCTGCTTTTCAAATCTACTATGAAGTTGTGGTGTAATGCTTGAACATGAACATAGATTATACATATGGTATCATTTAAAAAGTATTTTGTATCAAGACATACTGTACATGATGCATTATATTGATTGATATACTCATTTCATGCAGAAACTAAGTTTATTTATTACAAAATAGAGTAGTTGACTATTAATATATATGAATCCAAAGTAACAATGAATGGCATTACTAGTTTTACATCATAGTGAAAAAATTAATAGTTATATGCTTTACTTATAGCTAGAAGATACCAATAAATGTTAAAATAGAGAAGTAAAATTTCTTGGAACTCTAATTACCTGTAGTGAAATCCAATATCATGATTGCCAGCCACAAAATACATAGTTGTACCATCTGGTACTTTAAACAAGTTAAAGAATGTCTTTACATTCTCATCAAACTCCTTCTGTGTACACCATTTACCCTCATCAAATAAATCTCCTGTAAAAATATTAATTCCATCAATTTTAAAGAAGAAAAATCAACAAGAAAATATTCAAATATAGGTGAACTACCTAAAACAAAAATGATTTCTGGTTGATGTATAGTCATAGCTGTTTGAAAAGCTCTGTGCATCTGCCATTCTCTTCTCAATTTATCAAACCAATGACCGTTACGAGAGCCGAGTAAATGAGTATCGGCCAGAACCATTGCTTGCACTGGTTTTACTCCATCTACAGCTTTTTTCGTGAGAGCCGGCCATCCGCACTTAAAACATAATTTATATTTGGACATCAGTATTTATTTAGCTATTGGTACGTTTCGAATATATATTATTTTTCTAAATCAAAGTACCTGAATTTGAATAACATAATAAATAATATACTCGCAGTAAAAATAAATTAGAAATAGGCCAATAATAAGATAAAGGATTCCAGTGAATGGTGTTTTCCGTCCCCAGATTCTTAATAATAATAACATAATTCTTTTAGTGAAATAGGAAACCAAATATTACTTAACACTCATTTATTATCATAATAAAACTGAAAGTTGTTTATTAAAATTCCATCGGTAAGATATTGATTGATAATATCAATATATTTACAGTGACAGTCAGTGTCAACTTGACATCAACAAGTTGATTTTTGCGCAAAAATATAACACAGCACATGGACATGGAGGTATTGCAGATAAAACAATTATTATTTAAGCTTAAGATAAAACTTTTTGTTTTGTTCTAAATTATTTTGAATCTCAAAATTCATTTATTTAAAAGCTCATACACAATTTTTCCACAAAAGTAAAAGGAAGAGCTCCGTGAAATGGACTATAAACTTCAACAACAGCTGACTGTCACTGTCATTAACATTGACATTTGACAATTAAGTTGATTTGTTTTGTATTAAGTTCGATTTGCACTTGATCTTAGCATTTTTGTTTTTAATCCAACGGAATAAAGAAATACTCATATTTGTGTTAGGTGATATATATATCAATTAATATGTCGGTGCACTGGAGTTCTGAAGTAATGAAATGGGAGTACAGAGAATTGCAGGCAACCGCTATGTCTGTTGATTACTCGGGTAACAATGTTTTGTTAGCAGGTCGAAGGTGGCTGGCTATTAAACAAATTAACTTAGAAGATGACACACTAGGCGACATAGTTAAAAAGTATCCTCGTCATAGTAAATACGATGTAGCTGGAGCAGAATGGTGCCAGAACTACCAAGGAAAAAACCTCTGTGCTATAGCTGTAAATACATTTTGTTAACAGTATTTTTTGGTCTCGTTGTATTATAAAAATAAGTGTAATGTTTCTGTATTACAGAATAATCAACGAGTTGATGTTTATGAATGGCGTGCGGGCAATGACCTGACGTGTATATGTTCTTTACGCGCGCACACTCGGGTCGTCAGCGATACACATTTTCATAGACAAGACCACAATCTTCTTGCAACATGCTCTATAGACACTTTCACACATTTGTGGGATTTAAGAGATGCAAGGAAACCCATAGTATCATTATGTGCTGTTGGTATGTTTTACAATTTTTGTTGACTAATTTAAGAATAATTGTATTGCTACTCTTTTATCTGATAAGTAAATCTTATCTTTTTTAGTAATTATGAAGTAATATCCTATCTAAAATAAATTTGTATATTCCAGCTGGAGCCTCTCAAGTACAATGGAATAAGGTTGCATCTCATATAGTAGCTACTGCACATGATGGAGATATAAAAATATGGGATTACAGAAAACCTAGTTCCCCAATACATTATATTTCAGCACATTTATGTAAAATCCATGGTGTGGACTGGAGCCCGCATCATGAATATCAATTAGTCACTTCAAGTCATGATGGAAGTATAAAATACTTCGATATAAATAATGCTAGAAGACCTGAGAATGTTATAACAACAAATTTTCCAGTATGGAGAGCAATTTACACACCATTTGGAAGTGGCTTGTTGACAATTGGCGTTGGTTGGGGAGGGCTACCTAGAGTTGAACAAGCTGGTGTTATTGGTATCTGGGTAGGTGGTACGTTGACCACCAGATTAGTGGGACATACGGACACTGTTCAAACCATGGTATGGAGACCAAATACCTCTCCATCCAACTACCAGTTGATAACATGGGGCAGGGATCAGTCTCTAAGAATATGGACAATGCATCCATCACTGTTAAAAATGTGTTCACATTATTTACCTGATGATGCAGATGGAGAAGAAGATAATAATAGTGACTGTGAGTTTCATAATCTTCATTTTTTACAATTAAGAATACATCATCATCATCATCATCATCTCCTTATCCTACTCCCGTAGGGTCGGCGCAACAGGTTTTTGTCCTCCACATAACTCTATCATACGTCATCTCAGTCATCACTCCCTTTTTGATCATGTCACCTTTTACACAATCCATCCACCTCTTTCTAGGTCTACCTCTACCGATGTAACCTTCCACACCCATAACTAACGTTCTCCTTGTAACATGCGATTCATCCCTCCTCATAACATGCCCATACCATGCTAACCTTTTACTCCTAACCTTCTCTATTATGGGGGCTACTCTCAAACTTCCTCTCAAACAATTAAGAATACAAATAATATAAATGTTATTTTTTTACGAATCATTTTTTTTTTCTTTCAGTTAGCTATGCATCAACAGTAGGTTCTGTCACCGATCTCTCACAAAATGATAAAGATATACAAATGGTATGTTTATTTATTACATTTGATACTTATGGTATTGTATATTTTCTTTTACATAAGGTTTAATTTTATTTACAGAACAAAATAACACATAAAAACACATCTATTGATGAGGAATTTGAATCAATCAGGGAAATGGCAAACATTGAAGTGACAGACATGAATATTGAAACACGGACCTGCCAAATTCATTCTGAACGCAACGGTTACATCGCTAACTTACAAGTCACCTTCCCAAGGAATGTCACAGAACTCACCATACCAAAGTTCTCGTGGCTTTCAGGAACTAATGTTGATAGCGCTACTACGATAAAAGTGTTACAAGCTATCAACAAAACAGCGTATCGTAAAAAGAAAGAAGGACACAGGTGTCTTTTGCACTGTTTAAAAACTTTAGCCACATCTATTGATGAGGTCAGTCTTTATAATCGTACATTGTTATGAAACCAAGTGTCTTGATATATTATGGACTTTATCGTGTTTAAATTTATGGCAACAAATTTATCCTCACGAAAATAATTTTACACTTCAAGATACCGGTAAAATCAAACGACGATTCCGACTCGATGAAATCGAGTCAGCGAAGTCAATCGGAGAGCGAGAACGCGGGCGACTCGTGCATCCCTTTCCCGCGCACGTGTGGCGCCAAGTGGTGCGGCGTGAGCTCTCTCGCGGTGTTCAACCGGCCCGCCAACGCGCGCCGTCTCTCTCTAAAGCACGAGGCGGGCACGCCGCGCTCCATGTCCTCGCTGTCGCTGGCGCCCGGACTCTTCGCCGGCTACAGCTCCGTATCCCCGCATGCCACCACCACGCCCTCGCCCACCAACGCCTCCGGCTTCCCGCAGCTGCACCACAGGCACGCCTCCAATTCTATCACCACCTTCTATTTTCAGGATAGATGGGTAAGTTATCTTAGGAACTCATTAAATAGGAAACATTTTTTTTTATTAAACTATCACCGATCAATCATTTAATACAATCAATTTATTTTAGCGTATGATTTCAAAAGTGAATTACTCCCGTATGATTTTAGAAAGCCCAAAGCCGGCGCGCGGGCAGCATGCGCAGCCGCGGCAGCATATCGGGCTGCTCGTCGCCGCGCGTCGTGCTCTACGCCGCCAACAACCTCTTCCCGCTTAACAGGACGTTGGCCGAGAAATACGTCATCAACGCAGACGACCCTGTCGGTAATGTATACAACGCTTCCTTCCTGTAACATAGAGAAATTCCCAAATATAGTTCTCGTAAAATTCATTCAAAATTGGAATGCTATATTTCATCTTCAATTTGTAAACTCAAGTTTATTGGCAGTTCTCTTTCACTTGCACTAGGTCTTTATTCCACCTGCAATGTCGATTTCCAGAATAAAAAAAGTGTTGTTTGTAGACATGTGCGAGAGGAATGCGAAAGTGGCGACGGAGGAGGGCGAGGTGGAGCTGGCGCACTCGTGGTGCCTGGCGGCGCTGGCGGCGCGCGCGGCGCGGGCGCTGGACGCCGGCCTGGTGGACCACCTCGCCTCCAGCGAGGAGAGCATGGCCTGGGCCGGCCACCCGCTCTGCTGCAACCTCGTGCAGACCTTGTGAGCACTTACACAACCTTTACAAACATTACCCCAACATCTGAATTTAGGCATCTGTTAACAACGTTTTCAACTAGTTGACCAAATAATACGATAAATGTTTAAAAACATATTCTTTTTAGGATATCACACTACGCTAAATCTTCGGATCTACAAATGGCCGCCATGCTGGCGAGTGCATTTGCAGTTTTCACCGATACAAACAGTTCAAGTTCACAATCTTCCATCAGTACATCGAGTTGTGTAAGTTTAATGATTTTTATTTAGCATAGTTTAGGAAGGAATACGAGAGACATAATCGGGCCGTGTGTTTGTTGCGTTTAGGGCAACAGGACGTCGCCGTACAGCACGGTGAACCAGTACAGCGAGATCAGCGCGGACGGCTGGACGCTGCCCATCATCCTGCGCAGCAACTCGTGCTCGGAGGCGGAGAACTTCCACACGGAGTCGCTGTGGCGGGCGGAGCGCGGCGGCCTGCTGGACCAGCGCAGCGCGCACCTCTACAACTGCTTCAAGCGCGCCTACGCGGACGTGCTGCACCGCTGGCAGCTGCTCTACAAGAGAACTGAGGTCATTCAACTTTTGTAATACATTTTTTTAATATTTATATCGATTTGTCTTCCTTTATTTCCATTGTATTAAAATTGTTAAATGGGTGAGTCCGTTAAAAAAACTAGTATTTTTGTGTTTAAAGCATAATCAATCGTGTAATTTATTTATTGACTGCTTTGATCCCGAGTCCATACTTTTTATTACAATTAAAGTAACACTTGACGACGTTCCCATGTGTCATGTTAAGTAGTGTTGTTATGTGTGAGTGTAGGTGATGAAGCTGGTGAGTGGGGCGGGGGAGGCCGCGCCGGCGCCGGGCCCGGAGGCGGTGTGGGAGTGCGCGTGGTGTGGGCGCGTGTGCCGCGGCGGCGCGTGCGCGGCGTGTCGCCGGCCCGCGCTGCGCTGCGCCGTCTGCGCGCTCGCCGTGCGCGGCCTCGCCGTTGCCTGCGCGCTCTGCGGACACGCGGGACACGCGCACCATCTGCAAACCTGGTGAGCGCACCTCGCACCGCACGTGGCACTCCTTACACTTCACACCGCACATTTAACACTTCACACCACTCACTTCACACCTCAAGATTCATATACTTGAAACAACTGATAAATACGACCGATCATTATCTGCCACCCTAGACAAAGTAACTATAGACTTATAGGTATAAACACGTGACAATCACATGACTTATCGAAAGTTATTGTCAGTTCTATACATTTTTATCTTTCCAAACAATGAATGGTTGATCTCCGGGAGGATGGTACTCAATTTACTTCATTTTAAAGGTCTATCACAACAACTGTGTCCGCTGGTTTTGCCATTGTCAAAAAGCTTATAGACTAAACATACATTTTTTTAGGTTCTCTCAACACGACAACTGTCCAACTGGCTGCGGCTGTAAGTGTGTCATCGAAGGCACATCTGTATGGAAAGGAGTTAAATATGCTTAAGTTAAGTAGTAAATGTAAATATTATTATCAATACATATTCTAAAGAAAATCTGTTCCTATTATTATTTAGTTGTTAATTAAATAATACCTTTACTCCATACCCTTCATACTCCATAGTGCACTTTCCCGCGCGAATATTTTGATTTACTTGCATTTTGATCTAAGTTGTTCAACTGTTTTAAAACATGTCTGTTTTCTTCTGTTTTTTAAATTAATATGTCAACACAACGAAAGTATACTTATTTCAAATACACTTTTATTATGTTCGTCTAAAACCATATTAAAATAAAACAATCAATTTACTTTCATTCGCTTTATTTCACAAACTTTTATTTTATTCAAATAATAAAAATGTGCAGGTGCTTATCGTTTAGAATTGTGAAATTTACAATTTAAAAAAATTTAGAGGTTAACCTACAGGCAGTCTAAAGCATTTATGAACGTAATTAAATGATTTTTTTATTATCAACAAAAATACCAGAAGTAACATTTATAAAACAATAAAAAAATAACATATTTCGTTACACAAATAACAACAATTCTTCGAAAACATTTCTTCACCTTGTTGCAATGTTTTACAAATAACAAAATTTATATTTGCCTTACAGCGCTTGTAATTCGATAAACAAATTCTATTTGATGTATATCGAAATAGAAATTTTGTACTACATGGTTTTCATTAAAAGCGTGAACTTAGTTTAAACAATACAGATTATAACAAAACTATTTTAAACTGCATTTATGGAAAATTAAAAATAAACAAACTTTATTAATAAAACCAATAATCACAACCTACATAAATTAATTTAAAAAAATGTCCACAACTTTTTAAATGAAGAGATTTTCAGTCTTTATACCGAAATGCCAATTTAAAACGCTTGTTAAAATGAAACATTAAACTTCTCTCATAATGGTCCACTTATTTAAGATAATTCAGATAATAAACATTCAATATAAGTCAAAAAAATTGTTACTTGTCAATCGTAAAAATATAAAAAACAATTCTTTGTTCTTGAAATGAGATAGTATAAATATTTAGACCTCGTTCTGTTAACTAAGTCTAGATTTAATATTCTTGCTCTACAGCAAAGGAAATCATCTTTATATAACATACTAATAAAGTAATTAAAGCGACATTTGAATGATATACACAAGTATCACTTACTTCAATCTAACTTATTTGTACATTTCTTATTACCATTAAAATTTATGCGATTTTTTTCTTACACAACGAATTACAACACTTTCAAGTCAATATTAAAAAAGATTTCATTTCGTTGATTCATAAAACTAAGTACAGAAATAATGGTTTTGTGCCTTGACATTAAAGAGACGCTCTAATTTTTATAATGTTTTCTAAAATACAATTCATTGGTAAGAAGAAATATGGTTCTTAGGGTGATGCCACGAGCGGTATGGGGTTGTGCCTTTTTGCTAAACAGATTAATTCATTACTGTTAAAATGTGAAACAAATTAACTTAGAAATGCCGCTCAGTATGTTTGTAGCATCAAGTAATAATTATTTAATTAAAAAAAACTGAATATTGTGCGTTACAATGTTTGGACAAATTTGCTCATGTACATTGAAAGCTTCGGCTTTGCAAGCCCGTGTGGCATCTCCCTAAATCTATCATTTATTGATTTTTTAAAACTATAACATCAATAAACAGCAAAAACAAAGCTTAACAATAAACACATGTAATAGGCACATCGTTATTTAAGCAATAGCTACTTCTAAAAAATAAAACATATCTAATGTCTAGATTAAAAATATAATTATATTGACACAGATTAAAAAAGAATTTATTCAACTAATAACAATAACTAGACCAAGAGAGGAAATTGCTGAAAACTTTTTTTAATTCAGTGTTTGCACTGCGCCTTACATCGAAAGTATTATTAAATTAATAATTACATACTTCAAGAAGTTACATTGCAAATATTTTGTTTAAACGGAAATTTTGATTTTTATGTTGTATTCCGAAAATGCTACTGAGTAAATAATAAGATATTAAAATAAATCATGCCCAAAACATACTTCTTTTTACATTTTAAAATACTATAACTGCATGACATCAACGCATACGATACAAATTGCATACGTTCTACATTACTATCGATATAAGGAACAGTCCCAAATATAGTCAAACACTTTAGCTAGACCAGATTGTCTCGGTTGCTGCTATTGAACTACGTATTCAAATCAAATAATTTCAAGTCATGCACGACGCAACGGGACGACATTTTTGATTTCAAAGTCGAGTTGTTCTATTGTAGCAGCTAAAACAATAAAAAATAATTAGTTACTACCAACACCATCACAAAGATAATAATGAAATAGTCTATCTATTTATCTATGTATTTATTTGTGTTTCTAAGTTGAAATCATGTGTCCCGTAACATAATTAAAAAAAAATGTTAGCAAAATTAATTTGTTATTATCATCTATTCTATGATAAATGTAACTAAAAAAAACGATCATTAACATAAATCTCTAAGGATTCCTAGATAATCTATTCAATATATTGATATAAAAAAGATCCACAGACAATAATTCAGGTTCCAATTATGAATAATGAAATAATTGAATTATTTTATTTATATTTACTTAAATCATTGTGTTACATATTTTATAATCTGTAGGTAAATTTCTACAACTTTTTTGTGCGTAAACTTACAATTAGCGTAATCATATGCTTCACGGTATGGTAATCTATTGATCATGTCATGTTTTCTCTCATTTATTCATGTATCTTGTAATCTACGGTGATCAGTCGACGCGCGTCTGTCGTAGGAATGGCGTGAGTATGATAAGCGTGATGCGGTTGTTGGCGTACCTCTCGAGCAGGCGGCGCTTCAACTCGGGCGGGTAGGTGACGTAGATATAGTGGTCGTCCTGCTCCTCGTCCAGCGCCTCCTCGCCCGCCAGCCGCTCGCCGCGCGTCGGCGACGAGTGCGTCGTCAGCGACACGGACGCACTGCCCGCCACGCTGCCCTCCTCAGAACTGAATACATATTGTCTCTAATACTCTCTAATACTGAAATTATTTACATCTAACCACACAGCTCGAGCGAAATCTAAACCTAAAACTAGCAAACAACTCTTCGATCAAATGTAAAAGATAAAAAGTGCAAAACTTTAAAAAATCAAACACTTAAAACTATATCAAGCCGGTTAATACAGTCAGAAAATAGTACACTCACACCACTGCACTAATCCATCTCTGGTAAATAAAGCAATCCAAGAAAATTACTCCCCAATAGATTCCTGATTTTTGCGCTTGATAACAATGCTAAAGAATATTCAAATAAATTAAAAAACAAACATTTAATTTAGTAACAAAAAATAGTTTTATTAAATTTAATGTTAATATTAGTAATAATGTATGTACTCGAAGACGATCCATATAATGTAGTAGCACATGCAGAGGGCGAGCGCGAGGCCGGTGGCGAGCGCCAGCAGCAGCGGCCAGGGGAAGACGCGCGCGGCCGGCGCCGCCTCCTCCCAGTAGCGGTCGCAGCTCAGGTACCAGCACACGGCGCGCTGCATCTCCTCTGCACACACAATTACACATTCCAGACGTTTTTAGAACATGCCACACAATGCAAACACTGGTATTGTATCATATGAATAACAAAAACTCATAAAAAATAACTTTATTTGATTACTAGCTGAAGGTGGCGACTTCGTTTACGTAGAAAAATGTTTCACTCACTGATAACGTAATTGTTGAATGTTAAAAGAATTTTTGAAGTCGGCCCAGAAGTTTTTGAATTATTTCAATACTCCAAAAATAAATTCTTTTCTCTTTATAATAGTATAGATATAGATGTTCGAAAATGTGTTTTAATTTTGATTACACCATAAAATGTGCGGTGTATCTATTATTGGTATTAGTTAGACTCTGGTTTCTTAGAACAGATTACAAACCTTCCAATTCTGTAAACTGATGTTGAGTTAGATGCAGCAGGAGTGTAGCTATGCAGGAATGAACGACTTTTTCACAGCGCACCTTGTGAATATAGAGAGAACAATGTCAGAAATTAAGGCAAGTGACACCGAACGAAAAACTTAAAATGTGTAGGATATTGCAACTACGATTGCCTAACATAACTAGGTCGGAAATTACTGATTATCACAAACGACAGACAAGGAAACTCTCGCAACAAATTACTGAATACAAGTTACCTTGATCGCCTGTAACCTCAAGGGATCGCAAGCCGCGCGCTCCGCCTGCAAGTCCGCTAATCTCTTTTGTCTGCTGTCCGGAGGCAGTGACGACTCCACCGTGTCGGCGTCGCATAGCTCTGCTGTTTGATTTGTGTCACCCTCGCTCTCCTCTCTTCTTTTCTCTTCTGTTACTGAAATTACAATAATTATAACATACTAGAAAAAGTGTATTGGATCTACCCAATAGAAGCTACAGGGTGATCCAAACGAGACTTACCTGGCTCGTCAGCCTTTGGGTCAGTTTTCGGGCAGTCAGGTGCCGGCGGGGTTCCAGGACGGGGGCGCTGGCGGCGTCGCTGCGGCGCTCGCACCAACCCTCGAGCCCCCGCCGGCGCCAGCGCGCGCCGCGCCGCCTCCAGGTCGCGCCATACTTCCACGTCCGTGACCGGTTTGCCGGCGACGCTCAGCAGCCCGTGCGCCGCTAGCACCTGGCACCGCATTATGTCGCAGTAGTCTGCCAGGCACACCGCATCCTCTGCCTAGAAAATAAGGCCCCCAAGAGGTATTATAAGTATTATTTTCATAAGTCCAATACATACGCATACGTGATCGTCTGTGATATTATTTCAATTATGCGATGAGACTTTCAGAATAAGTTCATTGTGTTGACATTCCCCCGTGAGATATTGGTAACGGTGAAATGGGTATTAACCTTGTTAATCTGGTTCTTGTGTCGCTGGTCGAAGTGCGTGTCGAGGTGTCGCTCCTCGTAGAAGGACTTGCCGCAGAAGGCGCAGGTCCACTGCGAGGCGCGGTGCTGCAGCTTGGCGGCGTGCTGCGGCGCGAAGATGTCGCGTGCCGGGTGGAACGGACACTCCAACGGCAGCTTTACCTATAACCAAAAAGTTAACTAGGTTAGGTCTATTCGTTCAAAACATAACAAGAAAAATGTATGCCTGAACAAATAAAACAACTAATCCAACATGCACATGTCAATAAAGAGTTTCAAAAACATGTAATTAAAGCAACTGACCTGAAATCTTTCTAGTACTGGCATCCATTTGTTTTGTATAACTTTTCGCACAATTTTGGAGTTGTCACGTGAGCAAGTGATCTTGAAAACCGACGGTCCCGGCCACGGTATCAGCGTGAGAAACAGAAGGGCTAAGACCTGGAATAAATTGCATGCTATACGTAAATACGTGACAACAATCAGGACACCGTGATAATGCTGTATGATACATATCATTAGGAACTGATTGCAATTTGTTTTATCCGAATTACAAACGCTCGAAGGTTTTTTTTAATAACCTCCCCACAGCTTCAGCCTTTGCCAGTATATGTTCTACTGGGGCATACGTCTTCGTATTTCTGATGTGCACATTTTCCCATAGACAGCTGGTACAATCAAGCAAGAATTTTACACTAAAACACCTTAATTACAAATGGAACTGTCCAATAAAACTAAAAAATTAATTTCACGTCAAATTTAAATTGTCTGCCTTATACTGCGGAACCTGCTAGGTTATACTTCTATTATTAAAGTATTGATTTTTCATAAAGAAAACTTCCTGATACCTCACATAATAATAGTGAAACCTCTCACCTCGAGGGAGAACGAAGTGGTCCTCATTCATATCTTGTAATCGACTTATAATTGTTAAATGTTTTTCAATTGAAGTATTTTTAGACACTAGGGTTTAGTTTACAAGTGCGACGAAAAGAGGGTTGACAATGTGAGAGCGCATGCGTCAAATTTTCCCCTCCTGACTCACCCCTTATGAATAAATCGAATTAAACTGTACGTATTGTTGTTTGTAAAACATACAATTTCTTATTTTAAAACATACCTGATTAATATCAAAACATTCACAATTAATAGTAGTTACAGCAATCAAAATAACTGTCAGTCTAATCATATAAACTGAATACAAAGAAACTGCAATAGAATGTTAAAAATGAAAAAAAAAAACAAATTGCTAGATTACTTCTATATTCCTTTGTAAATACCGTGCTTTCTTACACAATCGGCGGGTACTAGTGCAACAGTAAGGGACCGCAACCGGGACCCTCGATGATCTTAAGTTTGACTTACTTTTAACTTTTAGCAAATGTGGCCAAATTAGCATTGATCTATCTGGAAGCTATCTAACTATAATAATGTAGGTACGTCAAAATATTATGTAAATGCGAAATAACATTATTCTTAAAGTATAACAAAAGCGGTGCAGTAATACTCACAACAGTATGATTTAGGCCAACATGTATATTGTGTACATACAAAGCAACACTAACAGGGCTATAAACATAGCAATTAGTCCCAAACAATGATGACGATAACGCAATGTTGAACCAAAGCAGTGCAAGTCCTGTTAAAGCTGCCACGAGCGGTTGAAAAACCGGAATTTTTAAATTTATAGGTTAGTAATTTTGTGTCCGTTGAAACATCGTAATTAAGACCTAAAGAATGTTTGTTCTTATCTTAAGAAGCTATATTGGTCTATAGTATAGTTAGATATTTCAAGTTTAAGTAAAAAATGCCACTCTTGTCTTAGTTAAAATGGTCATTAACTCATCAGAGTAAAAGGAAAAGACTCAAACCACATTATTTCTTACTAGCTATTGCTCGCGACTTTACCCGCGTAAACAGATAAATTACCATTCGATGGTGAAAGAATTTTTGAAATTGGCCCAGTAGTTTTTACGTGAATCGAATACGTACAAAAATACAAACCTTGTCTCTTTATAATTTTAGTATAGATTTACGTACTCTGGGAATACAAATTCCTCGATGTCCTTGTTATGGTAATCGAAAAGCTAGAATGTTCAAGTTATGTGTACTCAGCATATTGACTGGCATTAACATTACCTACATCAAAGAATGAAAAGTATGGTAGGTCAAAGTTAAATTGGCTTTCGTGACGCTGACACACGTTCAACATACAAATAGAAATCAACTTTAATAGGGATTTCAAAGCGACTTGTGCATTTCTTTTATTTTTTTATTCACATTAATTTTATAATCTAGCGTTAAGCTTCGAACAGTCACGAGATTGCATGTTTCGGTGGGCAAAAAAATTAACCGCATGGTTCACTATATTCATTTATATTTTTTCGATTAAAAATGTCAACCGTATAAAAAGATATTTTATTAAAACCATCCACCAACCAAGTTCCATTTTTAAGAAAATTTCAGGGACATTATTATTGAATTTTAGTTGTTCGTATTATTCGCATTTAAATTAAGTTTGGACTAAATTTTCGAATATTATTAAGACAGACATCTAATAAAAAAGTATGATTAAAGTACAAGTTAATCCAAAGACTTACGTAAAATATGTAAAAAGATATTAAATGCAGGACGGTCAAACACCATGAACGAATACGACACGATATATTTTTTTTCTTGAAGTCTTATAACATCACGGTAGCGATCTTTCGAAAACGCTTTTGAATTTAAAAAGGGACAAGTTATCGTACCGTATGTAATAATGGATGCATGCCGTCGGTGTGGGTGGCGCATGCCCACAGCCTCCGGTCCACGCGCCCTCCGCCGCCACCCGTCGTAGCCCGTAGTCTCGCCCCGCCATTTCTCCTCGCAGTACACAAGCGATACATTCTATTTTTTTTAATAAAATATGTATAAAGTTATATTTTAAGTTTACGGTCTAAGCACTAAATATATCAACGAACGATTACCCATCAATACATAAATATGTGTGAAGATAAAGGGATAGAAGTTTGTCTAAAAATGTGGATCGCTCGTTAAGACCCTTGATGTTGTGTTAAGTGTTTTGATTAACTCGTTAGGTAAGTGAACTGTCAAAGTATTTTATTAAATTACAAAAAACGGTTATACAAAATACATTTTCTTTATTTTTCCAGATTTTTTTCCTTTCTTTGATATATTATTTTTTTCTTAGAATAAATGGAAAGAAGAAAAAACTTTTTCCTTTCTTAATAAAAAAATGAAGTCGATCACACTCGTCTTCTGTGTCGTTCGTGCAGCAACTTTATTTAATATGTTCCATGATTGTTGTCTATAAATCACTTGAAGTAAATATTTATTAATAAAAAATTTTAAACCAATTTTTTTTTTCAGCATGACAACGAACATGATCAGTCGCTTGGCTGCGGTCAGGTGTCGCTACATATTTCTTCTGGCGACTATTTCCGGAGGCAGCTTTCTGGTTCTAATTTTAAACAACAGCACCGACATGTTTGGTTATAAACGAGAGGTCAGCACCATTTGGTACTCTACCCATCGATACGATCCTTTCGATTCTGGCGCGGATTTTACTATCAAAACTGAAGGCTGCACTATACCAGAGTTACATCCTTTCGACGAGAGCATACGAAAATTTATTGAATATCCAAAACATTTAAAACCTTGCAGAAATAAAGACATATCAATATTAAAAAATAACGAAACGCATATTTGGTTAGCGGCTGAAAATTTTGAGCACGGCCCTAATATTAATTTAACGTGCTGTTATAAAGCATTCTACAGGCCTTTGGCAATAAACGAAATATCATCCGCCGATATAGACGACAGGGTAAAATATGACGAATGCGTTTACTTCTACGATTACATCGAAGTGAGCAATGAATTTGTTAAAGTATCCTGCACCAGCCATGACAAAGTTGTATATGAACAGTTTTATGTATTTGCGTTGAAGAAGCCATTTACATCTTACAAGGAAGATTCAACCGAAGCCCCAATAAATCAATCGGGATATAATGTATTAGTGATGGGCATCGATGCGATTTCTCGATTAAATTTCTACAGAACGATGCCTAAAACTTTATCGTATTTGAAAAAGAAAGGTGCTATAGAATTATACGGTTACAATAAAGTTGGAGACAATACTTTTCCTAATCTAATACCGATGCTACTCGGCATTAGGGATACAGACCTAAAGAGGACTTGCTGGCCTAATGTAAGAGCTACATTTGACAATTGCCCTTTTATATGGGACTGGTTTAAAGAGGCCGGCTACTACACCGCGCTCGGCGAAGACAGCGCCAGTTTAGGGACATTTAACTTTGAAAAACTGGGCTTCAGCGGCACTCCTACCGATTATTACATACGTACTTTTATACACGAAGCGGAGCTACGAGCTGGAAATAATAAAGATTTTAACTCATACATATGCATGGGAAATAAATATTTTTATCAAGTTTTACTAGACTATATAGAGGATTTGACGAAAACTTTAAAATCGTCAAAACTTTTTGGGTTCTTTTGGGAAGTGACTATGAGTCACGATTATTTAAATTACCCCGTTATTATGGACGAGAGCTACGAAACATTTTTAAAACATTTGGACATATCAAAATATCTAGAAGACACAATTTTAATTTTGCTAAGCGACCACGGTATACGCTGGGGCGACATCAGGCTCACCAAGCAGGGCCGGCTCGAGGAGCGGTTGCCGCTTGTCCACATCCTGTTGCCGCCATCCTTTCGCAATAACTACGCCCTTGCCTACGATAATTTAAAATTAAACAGCAAACGTCTCACTACACCGTTCGACTTGTATGCAACCCTATCAGATCTCGTTAACATGGATAGTATCAAGAATGATAAAGTGAGATATCGGAGCTCTTTACACTACGCTCAGGATCGAAGCATTAGTTTGTTTCTCCCAATTCCAAGTAATAGAACATGTCCGATCGCCGGTATCGACGATCACTGGTGTACCTGTCTAATGGGAAGGAGGGTATCAAGTACAAGCAGGAAGGCATCAGCGGCGGCCGCGGTCGTGGTGCGGGAACTGAATATATTGCTGCGTCCCCATCGACAGTGCCAGCGTCTTCTGCTCGCCAAGATATTAGAGATAACGGAGATGGAAGTGGGGAAGCCGGAAGAAGGCGAAGTTGGGTGGCGCGAGTTCATAGTGACAGTACGCACTTCGCCTGGGGACGGTTTGTTCGAGGCGACGGTGCGTCTGCGAAGCGGTGGCTGGTCGCTGGCCGGCAGTGTCAGTAGGCTCAACCTCTATGGCGACCAGAGCCACTGCGTACACGACGCCCAGCTCAAATTATATTGCTATTGTAGATAATCCTCCGTTATTATTACAAACTTAAAAATCTGTGATATTGTTACATGTTGATTATGTAGGTATAGCGGGAGTACGTAGTATAGTAGGGATTGTTGTGTACAGTAATATTTATTTGCTCAAATGTTGCATTTTAGTCTTTCTCCTTTATTGTAATCTTAGTAAAATTATGATATACCTTTAGTAGACTAGACAAATATAAGTACACTGTATCACTTAAATTTTGTGCATATCAATGAAATGGGAAATACGAAACATATAAAATGAATTTTAGAATAAATATCTGGATTGTATCATATCATTTTTAAGGACTATTACAATTATCATATCTATTGTATTGACACTTTTGTGTGCCAAATTAGTGTATCATTTAAAATTGTTAATGTGTTGAATCGGTAAAAATTTTGTATTTTTGACCGACTTCCCAAAAGAAGGAGGTATTCAATTCGTCGGTATATTTATTTTTTTTTTTTTTTTTTTTTTTTTTTTTTT